AATTAATTATATATATATTAAATTAATTTTAATTATATATATATATATATATATATAATATTTTTCTTTATTTTATATATTTGAATTTTTCATTTAAATGCATTGTTTACAGACAACTTCCACGTACATGTCAAATGATGTTTTTCTCTGCAACTTATGAGCCAGAAGTAATGAAATTTGCAGAAATTATAGTCAATAATCCTTTGATAATAAGATTATTGAAAGAAGAAGAAACTTTAGATAATATTAAACAATATTATGTCAAATGCAAGGATTTAGATGAAAAATATGCAGCTATCACTAATATATATGGTGTAATTACAATAGGACAAGCAATTATTTTTTGTCATGTATGATATCTTTAAATTTGAAAATTAATGAATACATTACTTTTATTTTAAAATTAAATAAAACAATATTAATATTAATAAAATAAATATTAATTTTAAATAGTATTTTATATTTGTACATAGACTAGAAAGACAGCTAATTGGTTAGCTGAAAAAATGACAAAAGATGGTCACGCAGTAGCTGTTTTATCCGGGGAATTGACAGTCGAACAAAGAATTTCAGTATTGGATCGCTTTAGAGCTGGTCTTGAGAAAGTTCTTATCACGACCAATGTTTTAGCTAGAGGTATTCAATTCTTAATTTTTATTTTTTATCTTTTAATTTAAGGCTTTTATTTTGTGTTTATTTGTTATATATATAAAGATAAGAAAATAACTTAAGTATAATTATAAATTTATTTAAAAATTTAACAGTTTAAATATATTGCAGGTATTGATGTAGAACAAGTAACAATAGTAGTCAATTTTGATTTACCAATGGACCAAAATCGACAAGCAGATTGTGAAACTTATTTACATAGAATTGGTCGAGCTGGACGTTTTGGTAAATCTGGGATTGCTATTAATTTAGTAGATTCATCGCATGCAATGCAAATATGTAAAGATATAGAAAAACATTTTGCAAAAAAAATAAAATATCTTGATACAGAAGATGCAGATGAAATAGAAAAAATAGGAGTTTAAGTTAATATATAGGAATTACAATTATGCTTTTTATCAAATACGCCTAGATATACTGTAATATCTCCTGAAAGAATAGATATTTGTATTGTCAGCATAGATTTTTTTGTATTTCTTTTCCAATAGCACATATTACCAAGAAATATGTTTACTTTTTCTTTTTACAATGGTTGTATAGAATTTTTTACTATCGAATTAAAATATGGCGATTGGATCAGGAATATATACAGAATTTAAATAAAGAAATATTTTTATATGTTATACAACAAACAACTGTTTGGCGCAAAAAAATATTGTGTCCTTGTCTCTTTACCATTATAAATTACTTCATTGACTTTTTATATAAAAAATAAATCATTTTTTTTGTATTTTTTCAATTTTAATAATCACATGATTTATTGGATATTGATTATTAATGTTAAGAAATATTACATACAACGATAATGTGGTAATATTATCACGTTTATATAAGTACAAATAATATAAACAAAAATAGTTAATCATTGATTATTAATTAACTATTAATTATTGCCCATATATCAAAATGAACAAATTGTAATTGTGGTAAAAAAACTTTTTTTTGTAAATGAATTATAAAATAAAAATATTTTAACACAATTTCTTTGAAAATAATTGTTGTGAAAAATATGTATAAGTATTCTGCAGATATATGGCGAAGTAAGTGAACAAAATATTTTCAATGTCGTTACTAAAATATTGTTTTCAATTAATTTACAAAATATTACAGCAATTTTTATAATATCTTATTAGTAATTACATAAATAATTACTTGAATAGAACTATAAATAACTATTTCTTATTGTAATAAAATTTAATTTAATTAACAAATATTTT